ACGTTCCTTCTTGATAACTCGTATGCCTGCATTTTGTTTGATAGTGGAGCGGAGAAAAGTTTTGTGAGTCATGGTTTTAAGGGCCTGCTAAGACCAACACCACAATCATTAAGTGAACCGTTTATAGTAGAAATGGCCAACGGTAAAACAGAAGGCACTAAGAAAATATACTTAAACTATACCCTAACTCTAAACGATAATCCCTTTCCAATCAACCTCATGCCAGTCTCGATTAAGAGTTTCGATGTCATCATAGGCATGGATTGGCTGAGTTCTCATCATGCGGACATTTTATGTTACGATAAGGTCGTTCGCCTTAATCTGTTAACCGGTGAAACTTTCATTATCTATGGTGACAAACCCAGTACCGCTCTTCGTATCATCTCGTCTTTCCAAGCTCAGAAGTGCCTACGCAAGGAATGCTACACGTTTTTAGCACATGTTGTGGATGTGAAACGCAAAGCCCAGGACATCAAGAATGTGCCTGAGTATGCGATTTTCCTGTTGTTTTTCAGGAGGGTCTTCCAGGAATACCACCCGCGAGGCGAGTCGAATTCAAAATTGATCTGATCCCCGGAGCTACCCCGGTAGCTAAATCGCCCTATCGATTAGCCCCAGCGTAGATGCAGGAGCTACCCACCCAACTGAATGAGCTACTCAGCAAAGGATTCATCAGGCCGAGTTTCTCGCCTTGGGGAGCACCAATGTTGTTTGTAAAAAAGAAGGATGGATCATTTAGGATGTGCATCGACTACCGAGAGCTCAACAAACTTACCATCAAGAATCGATATCCCCTACCGCGAATTGACGACTTATTCGACCAACTCCAAGGAGCCAACTACTTCTCCAAGATGGATCTAAGATCGGGGTATCACCAACTACGAGTCCTGGAGGGGGATATTCCCAAGACAACCTTCCGAACAAGATACAAGCATTACGAGTTTGTAGTAATGTCGTTCGGACTAACCAATGCTCCTGTCGTGTTCATGGACCTAATGAATCGGGTATGTTGTCCATTCTTGGATAAGTTTGTGATAGTATTCATAGATGACTTACTCATTTATTCAAAAAGTAAATAAGAGCATAGCCAACATCTGAGACAAGTCTTAGAGACATTACGAGCTGAGAGACTTTATGCGAGGTTCTCAAAATGCGAGTTTTGGATTAGAAAGGTGGACTTTCTCAGTCACGTGGTTAGCGAAGAAGGAATCCACATGGACCCATGTAAAATCAAGGCTATCAAAAATTGGTCTGCACCAACTACCCCAACAGAGATTCGCCAATTTCTAGGCCTTGCTGGTTATTATCGAAGGTTCATTCAGAACTTCTCCAGCATCGCAAAACCTCTTACCTCCCTAACTCAGAAAGGTGTGACCTACAACTGGGGAGAAAAGCAAGATCCTGCATTTCAGACACTGAAACAGGCCCTGTGCAGTGTGCCCATTATTTCTCTTACAAAGGGGATCGAAGATTTTGTGGTGTATTGCAATGCTTCAAAACAAGGGTTGGGTTGTGTACTAATGCAGAGAGGGAAGGTTATTGCGTATGACTCACGACAACTGAAAACACATGAAGTCAACTACACCACTCATGACTTAGAACTTGGAGCTGTTGTCTTCACTCTGAAAATCTGGAAGCACTACCTATACGGTACCAAGTGCACCATCTTCACAGACCACAAAAGCCTTCAACACATATTTGACCAGAAGGAGTTAAACATGAGACAACGACGTTGGGTCGAAACGCTCAAGGACTACGAATGTGAGATTCGCTATCATCCAGGAAAGGAAAACGTTGTGGCTGATGCCCTTAGTCGTAAGGAGTACTCTGGTCGAAGAGTGAAGTCACTAACCATGTCGATCCATTCTCATCTGTCAGCACAAGTCAAGGAAGCTCAAACAGAAGCCTTGAAACCCGAAAACATGGCAGGTGAGACCCTTAGAGTGATGTACAAGAACCTAGAAATCAAGACTGACGGAGTACGCTACCTCATGAACCGAATCTAGACACCCAAGTTTGGTTGGTTCAGAGAGATAGTTATGAGCGAAGCACACAAGACTCCATATTCCATACAACCAGGTTCAGATAAGACGTATCTGGATCTTAAACAACTCTAATGGTGGCCAAACATGAAAGCAGAAATTGCCACCTACGTGAGCAAGTGTTTGACTTGCGCCAAGATAAAAGTAGAACACCAGAAACCCTCAAGTCTACTCCATCAACCCAAAATCCCTAAGTAGAAATGGATTCAGATTTCCATGGACTTCATAACAAAACTATCCAAGACTCAGGGTGGTTGCGACACCATTTGGGTGATCATCGATAGGCTAACCAAGTCTGCTCATTTCGTACCAATCAAGGAAACTGATAAGATGGAAAAGCTAACAAGAACCTGCATCCAAGAGATAGTATGACTTCATGGAGTGTTGATGTCTATCATATTGGACAGAGATAGTAGATTCACTTCCAGATTCTGGCAAGCAATGCAAAAATCCATGGGGACAAGGTTGGATATGAGTACAACATATCACCCACGAACTGACGGACAGAGTGAGAGAACTATCCAAACCTTAGAAGACATGTTGCGAGCTTGTGTAATCGACTTTGGTAAAGCGTGGGATGTTCACTTACCATTAGTCGAGTTCTCTTATAACAACAGTTATCACACTAGTATCAAGACTACTCCATTTGAAGCCTTTTACGGCCGTAAGTGCAGATCGCCTCTGTGTCGGGCGGAAGGAGGCGACACGCAGTTGACAAAAGGTCTAGTCCTTGATAGCACTCTCATTGGTCTGGAGATCATTAGATGAACAACGGAAAAGATCATTCAAATTCGAGAACGTTTGAAAGCCTCGAGGGATAGGCAAAAGAGCTATGCTGACAAAAGACGAAAACCATTGGAATTTCGGGTAGGTGACCACATACTACTGAAGGTCTCACCCTGGAAGGGCATGATACGTTTTGCGAAACATGGAAAGCTAAATCCACGGTACATTGGACCTTTCGAAATTATTTCAAGAATTGGTCCAGTGGCTTAAAAACTCCAACTCCTAATCGAGCTTAACTAAGTACATCCAGTGTTCCACGTATCGAACCTAAAAAAGTGTTTGTCCGGCGAAACTCTTGTGATTCCTCTCGACGAAATTGAACTTAACAAAAATCTTAACTTTGTGAAAGAACCCATCGAGATCATGGATAGGGATATCAAACGAACTAAACAAAGTTGCATACCAATAGTGAAGGTTCGCTGGAACGCTAAGCGAGGATCTGAATTCACTTGGGAACGAGAAGATCAGATGTAACAAAAGCACCTACATCCCTTGCCTTGTCTGGTGGCGCTTACTTAGCAATTAATTTCGAGACGAAATTCCCTCTAACGGGGGAATGATGTAACAACCCGTTATTTCTGGTCAATGTAATGGCTAAAAGTCAAGTCTTGTAATCTCTTTGTTAAGTAATAAAGAATATCATCAAAAATGAAATGTTCAAAAATCCGCGTTTGAGTAAACTATGTGATAGATATCATGATAAGGTTTCCAAAAATATAAAGAACACAAAAATCCGAGTTATAACGAAGGAGTTATGACCAATCAAAGATTCGTAACACTATCGGTAAAACGTTGTTAACATAAAATGAGAAATTTCAATAAAATACTTTTTGACCTTAGGTGTCTAAATGAAAGTCATAGATATCATTCAACCACAAACATACATAAAAAGAACGCCCAAATCTGACTTCGTATGAAAAAGTTATGAATTTTTAACGAACTTTTCTTACCCCGACCTTTTAAAAATAAATAATAAAAATAATTTCAAAATTTGCCAACGGAGTCTAAACGAAAGTTCTAGAGCATACTCTCACCTACGTGTGGATATAAAGAACGTCGAAAACGGAGTTCGTATGAAGATGATATGAATTTTTGAAGTTTGCTAAATAATAAAAATATAAATTTAAATCAAATTTTGGTATTATCCGAAGGAGGAGTCACCAGGCCAGTCCGAGTTACGCCCAACGTACCCTCGTACGCCCAGCGTACTCGAGGACTAGGCCTCGGATCGTCCACGTCGCCCCCTATGCGAAGCTATGCCCCATCCCATCCGAGTTCCGAGGCAGTCGAGGATTCGGTCACGCATGACGCACGCGTACGCCCGACGTACCGAGGCTGTCCCCCCCCCCCTATAAAAGGGATGCGAGGGTTCCGGGGAAAATGCTCATTTCCTCTCATCTTTCTTGCGTTTTTGCCTCGTTTTCCGTGCAATAAATATCCCGAAGCCCCGGTTCCCATACCCAAGCCCCGAAGGAAGTTTACGCTACCGAGATTCCCGAGAAAAATCTGCTTTCTCAAGTCAAAGTTCTGCTCGGTTTTCATCTCACCTTCTTCGATCTATCAAGTGAGTTCGTACCCCTAAAATTACGTTTTTCAAATACTTTGTAAATGCTTTGTATACACTTTTAGGGGAGAAATACAAGTAACACTACTAGAAAACAGACCATTAATGATGCGCATTTACGACACGCAGTGATTAATGATACGCAAAAGGGCGTGCCCCTAAAAATAATGTCAGATCATTAGAAATCTGAAGAATTTTCGACGCGCATTTTTGCATGTCCTAAAATTAGTGTCTCAAGAAAAAAACACGGAGGGCGCTTATTTTAAAATGCGCGTCATCTAAACATGTTGTTTTATAATTTTTTTTAATGAAAGGCGCGTTTTTAGTCAGGGGGAAATGGCATCCCAAAAATTAACCCCCCCACCCCCCGTGTGCGCCCATTTTTGCTCCTCTCTCTGTCTCCATTGTTCCCTCTACTCTTGCTTCCACCTTCTTCCATCGATGCTAATCTTTGAATTAGCTAGAAAGAAACCCTAGAGCCTTCATCTTCACCTACATCTAGCACCTCCAACCCTTCTTCGTTCGTCTAATACAAATCGGGCTTTAATCTGCAAGAAAACCTCCAACTACATCCTCTACATGAAAAAAAAACCCTAATTGGCAACCACATGTTGACGTCAAGTACCCTTGAGATGAAAGCCTTATTTTGATGTAGAGATCCCTTTAGGCTCTTATGTTAGGATCGATTTCTCATATATTTAGTTCTTACATCCCTTCTAACCAAACCCTTAGCATCCCAAAATAACCATATTCTTCCATCCGCTCGTCTTAGTGGCTAGAGAGGGAGTTGTTCGAGTTTTTGTGTAGGGCTATCGGATTTTTGAGTCACCGCCGAGGGACAAGACGGAAGAGGACCTCAAGACAAATGTTAAAGTTGTGATTTCATCAACATCGGGCACCGATTTCTCAATCTTCTTCTTCTTCTGATTTCTTCTTTTCTTTGGCATGTTTTTAATGCTCTGTTATTTTATAGTTGTGTTAATGTTGAAGAATTATGGCTATAGATTATGAAATCGTTAAGTCTCTTGTTGAGATCATTGAAACAAAGATGAAGAGAAGGTGTTTGATGAAATGCTCAAATGAAAAAAAAAATCATTTTACAGTGGGATTAAACTATATTTTCCAACTTTGTAGTGTCTATGTATATTTTGAACTAAAATGAAGTTTGCAATGAATTTAGAGATTGTATGATTTCTTTAAAAATCACGTTTAACTACTTAGGTTAGTGATTTGACTTCACTGGCCTAATATTGTTTAGTTTTTTTAATTATATTACCTTCTTGCTTTTGGTTAAACCCGAATTTGCTAATATTGTTGTTGTTAAATAACTTATCTCCATCTTTCTTATATTCATCTTCTTCATTTTACAATTGAAGAAGAACCAACAAAGAGTGATAATGTAGAAATTGATGTGGAACCACGAATTTTTGCTAAGTTACGGGATGTTGGAACAAATGGAGTGTCTTACTTAACTGAGGATATTAAAGAAGGTGAAGTCATTGGTATAATCACTTTAAAAGATGTATTTGAGGAACTTCTTCAGGTTCTTTTGTTTCCCTTGCCTATACTCTGCACGTTTAAATCGCATGTGTAGTTTAAAGTATCTACCTGCTTTTAAAATTTTAAATACATGGTAAAATTTTCTATGAATGCAGGAGGACATTGTAGATGTCACTCATGAATATGTTGATCTGCATAAAAGGTACATTAAATTTATAGAATTATAATATGGTATTCTCTTTTTTATGAAAATAAAAAAACCAACTAATATTTGCTTTCAACAGAATACGTGTAGCAGCAATTGCAACTGCTTCATATGTAGCCCGTACTCGCTTATTTCAGAGATTATCTTCTATTGCTGTAAGAAATCATCTTCTTTTTTATAATATGAAATAATAGATTGTCAATAATAATAATAATAGTAAGAGTTATTTGCAAGAATTAAAATAATCTTCTTTCATTGATGATGCAATCTTCAGCATAAATGAAAAGGTTAGTCTCGAACAAGGAAGCAAACACATTGGATATCATTAGTATGATGATTGGTCTACAAGTGACACCATATCTTTCTGCTCTACTACTTATTTTCCTGTATCTACAGTGTTTTGACTTCAAAGAACACAATAAAAGAGTGGATTAGGAGCATCAGAGCATTGAATATTGATGTGACTGACATTATAATATGTTGGGTCTCCTTATTTTAAGGGTTATATATATATATATATATATATATATATATATATATATATATATATATATATATATATATATATATATATATATGTTTGCTCTCCAGAGCTATGGTCCATGGTTTGATATATGGGGAGCAGGCTTATATTTTGTCGCTTTGCTTGATCTCAAGAATGCTAAACAAGACATTTCATCTAACGAATGGACCTACCAAGTTTGTTAACTTGTTAAGTTTGACTATTAGGGTTTCTTTCACATTTGAAACATAGTTTTGAGCTGTTGCATACTTATGATTGCATTCAGGTTGGAACTAAAGGGGAAAGCCTAGGACTTGATAAAATAGAGGTTGCTAATAATTCCTTATGGACCCATGGCAATGATTTGCCTACTAATCAGAGTCTAATTTGGTATAAGGTATGTAACCCTTCAATCATTAAAAATAATAATAATAATAATAATAAGACATGACTACTTCCAAGACTCTAATTTTTTTTCATTATATATTTTTTCAGTCCATATTTGTTGTCCCTGAAGGAAAAGGTCCTCTATCACTGAACCTTGGGAGCATGGGGAGAGTATAGGACGATATTGGTCAACTTACCTTTCACCATCAACAGGTTGTACAGAAAATTGTGACTTCAGAGGAACTTATAATGCACAAAAATTTCAGAAGAAATGTGGTCAACCGGCTCAAATATTGTAAGTAATTTATATATATACGTAGGAGATTTTCATTTTGTTTGTAATATTTTTTTTAAAATAATATGTCTATAGATATCATATACCATGGACATGGGTGCATCCTGGTGAGAACTTGCTTGTTCTTCGTGAAGAGTTGGGTGGCAACCCTTCCGAAATTTATGTGCTCACACGAACCTGGCAGAAGTGTGTGGCCATGTCTCGAAAGATGATATGATTCTGGTTGAACTCTGGAAACCGAATTCTGATTCCAGTTCTCAAAGCCCTCAACTTCCAAAATTTCATCTGTTGGTTTTGCTAGCTTTAGGAATCTCGAAGGGGATTGTGGTGCTGGATTTACTCAAAGAAGTTGTCATATAGACGTTTTATCGATTGTTGAACAGGTACCATAATTCTCACTATTTTTATATCATTGTATCCTTATTTACATATTTTGTGATTTTATAATGATTGTTTGGACCTTTTAGGACAAACTTGCTTCAATCTTATTTGAAGTAACCCATGTTATACACTCGTGAGAAATTAGTTTGTATCGGGAAGCAAAAATGTTGGGTTCCTTTTTCAACAACTAAACTTGGGAATCCGTGTCCATATAGGGAATTACATTCTATTGATATCACATGCATCTATCAAAAGACATGATTAAAGTTAAAAAAAAAAATTTAGTCAGTTCAACATACAGGGAATTTGGGATCTAGAGGTATAACAGTAAATTCAAGGTGATATAGCCATAGTATTGTGATTTGTGAACTGACTTGAAACTGTTAAAACCCTTAGAAACCCTTTTGTTGAGGATGAGCATTTAGACACATATGAACGCTTTCAATACTAATTTATAAGTTTCCTCTTTCCTGTGTTTATACTTTATAGTTGGATTTTAGATTTTTATTTCTTTATGTTATAGAAAGTTTTAGATATTTAACTACTATATGCCAGTCTATGTTGAGGTTTGAATAGGATTCTACTTATTATGCATATGTTAAGGATAATTTAGAATTTTAGTTCAATGCACGTTGTTTTTGTAAGATTTGAATTACTCAAAGGTCCAGTGAGTGTGTTCCTGGTCTTTGGCATCTAGTCAAGGCTGTTCTTATTTTTCAGCAAAGTTTTAGTTTAAGTAGATAGGCAAGTGTGCGTTGGAATTTGTCCCAATTTGTTTTCATTCTAATTTAGTGAATAAAGTATACACTTCAGCCTTCTCCTCTGTGTCAATTCTATCGCCTTCTCTGTTTGGAGGATATGCACTAACTAACCTCCAAATAGGCAACATATTTTTACTTTTCTCATTTCTACCAACTATACAGCTACTTTCATGTGGTTTTGTGATAGAAAGCCCAATTAGTAGTTTAAATTTTACCGAGTTTCCTAGCTTTAATGCCTCTGAAATATATAGTGGAAGTGGACCAGATGAAGAAAGATCATCAAATGAGGTGCCTAAACCTGGTTCTTTGGTGAGAAAGTGGAACCTTAAAAATCAGCAAGAAAAAATATTTAGAGTCAATTAAAGATCAGATGCCTGAAAAAGAAGGATCTCTGCCATTAAAATGGTTTTGATCTTTGAAAATGGTTGTTTATACTTTGTTTGAAGCTTTTCGACAGCCAATAATTTTAAGGTACAACTTGATAAACTCTCATAAATAGCAATATGCTTTTAATCATTTTTCTATTTTGCTTACTGGACTTGGAAAATCATCAATAAGACCATTTACTTTTCAAATTTGACTTGTGTTGGGTAATTTTGACCAAAAACCTGTGAAATGCTTACATGGACGAATGGTTTTTATTATTATTTTTTTTAATTGAAAGTTTTGTAATGCTTTTTGAAGGTTGGATGGTTTCAATAACAAACACTCTTGTCTTGTAAGTCTAGTGGCCAAATTAGAGATGGAGTAAAAGTGTGTTGTTATTTGTTGCTTGTTGTATTTCTCTATATTTCTTATATATGATGGGATAGATTTACGGTCTGGACTCTGGACTCTGGATGGATAAAGTGATGTCTGAGAAATAAGTTTCTGTCCGTAGAAGTGATGTATGAACAGAAAATGTTTCTTAGTGGGCCAAATGAAATGACCATTTTACCCTTCTGATGTTGAGCAAAAAACAACTATCTGTTTGACAACTCTCATAAAGTGAATTTTGTAAATGAAGAAAAGTAAGAAAGAAACAAGTAAAATCATTCTTTTTTGGACTGAAAGAACAAGAGTAAATGACCATTTCACCCTTCTTTCGAGATGTGATGCAAAATAAAAATGAATGTTCCATTAAAAACTGTTATAAAACGAACTTGTAATTCATGTATGAACAAAGACTGTTTCCTTTTTGGACCAGTGTTTGTGACCATTTTACCCTTTTGCCTAGAAATGATGCTGAATAAAAGAAATGCCAGTTTGTACTTTGTTTTTTAGAAGCATTACAATTTACAAATTGAAAGTGCAAATGAAAAAAATTAAGGAAGAAATAGGATGATTAGGTTCCCTTTTTAATATAAAAAAATATAGTATATCGTTGTGGTATGAAATAATAATGATGGTAATTTTGTATGACTAAGTAATTGTAGTTCTGATTTAGAAAATTGGGCAAACCAAAACCAGACCAACGGGTTGGTTTTTCCTATCGCAGGTGACTATTCCTAATCCATTAACGGTGAAGTTCTATTACCAAACAGAAGTTCTGAATCTAGAACCTTCTTTTTTAGGCACTTCGCGTGTTATTGGCTGGATGGACCTCCTGTTTGGGACTTTCAATTACAACCGCTTTCTAAAGAAGATCAAGTTACGAAAACTTCTCACGTAAGTTCTTCTCTCTTCTTAATACATTAAGCCAGGTTTATTGGCTTAACTCATTAACTCATTATTATGGTCAGATTCAGATTAAGTCAAACAAAACACCCATATAGATGCCTGTTTCTTTATGACTTAATCATAACAAAACGACTTAATGGGTTTAACCAATAAACCTAAGTTAATGCGTTAGAACTGCTCTCATGTTAAAATTAATAAATATTTTGGAATTTGTTTTTTGGAATGTAAGGGTAAAATGGTCATTTAGTCATTCTGTCTAGAAAAGGAACATTGTCCTTATGTATACACAACACTTTATCATTACCCATTTAGTGACTCAATGGCAAAAAAAACACCCCTTATACACAAAGTCTGCTTCTTCTTTTTTGGGCTGAATGAACTGTTTGAATGTGAGTAATGACCATTTTACCCTTCCAACATATAGTTGTAGTCTGTCACTCTTGAAACTTCATTGATTTCTCGACTACATGTTTCATTTTATAATGTATAACGAATCATCTGAATGCGAGTAAATGACCATTTTACCCTTCGGACATGTTGTTGTAGTCTGTCACTCTTGGAGACATAGTATTGGTTTCTTGACTGAATGTTCTATTTCATAACAGTATACTTAACCATCTGAATTCGAGCTAGTAAATGAAGATTATACCCTTAGGGAATATACAGTATACTTGCAGGTTGTCTC